TATCAGCCACACGAAATGAATTCCTTTTACCAAACGACCGATTGTATGCCACTTGCCGCACGCATACAATACGCCATGGACAGTTGCTATTGTAGCTGTTTGTTTTTATTGCAGGTTGCTGTCCGAAACTCGTCCAATTCCTATGCCATCGAAGATATATGGCCATTAAACGTTCGTCAAGGTATGCAACATAGAAAAAAATGGAAAATGAAAAAAAGTTGAAAATAAGAAAAATACAATCTTGGTAGCAAAAGAAAAGAAGTTGTAAAACCGGTTTCTGCGCCAGTGCTGCCCTGCTGCTACTGCTAGCCACTACTATTTCCACTGTGGCCAATACCACTTTATGACTCTTCATGCTGCCATCGCAAACCTAGCCTTGCTTGCAGTTTTTTTCCTTTCTCTAAATGTCGTCTGCGGTTGACGTTTCAGGAGCTCGTGAGCTGCTACTTCACACAACTTGTGCACGCGTCCGTACATTTCTATATACATTTGGATTTATGTGCACTAGGGTGGTCCTTAAAATATCGACAATTTTATTTTGTCCTACGTACAAAATAAAGACATCGACGGTAATTTCAAAATTAAAAAAAAACTATGGTTAGAAAAAATATTGACTCATTTCTGCTATAACAACCGCCCCCTTCCACCAAAAGTCAAAACTGTTCAAAAAAGATTGGGAATCACATAAAAATTATAGCGAAGCTTGGTATTTCAAGGTTCGAAATTTTTTTTAATAAAATTTTAAGGTTTAAAAAAAAGTTTTTTGTATAATGAGTTTTTGGGCATTATTATTATTACTATTATTTTACGTGAATGGGGGGAGAGGTAAGTTTGTATTAACGGGTGATTTTTTTGAGGTTAGGATTTTCATGCATTAGTATATGACAGATCACGTGGGATTTCAGACATGGTGTCAAAGAGAAAGATGCTCAGTATGCTTTGACATTTCATCATGAATAGNTGGCGCTACATGCCACACAGCTCGCGATTCTATGGCCATTTTGAGGGAAAACTTCGGAGAACAATTCATCTCAAGAAATGGACCGGTAAGTTGGCCACCAAGATCATGCGATTTGACGCCTTTAGACTATTTTTTGTGGGGCTACGTCAAGTCTAAAGTCTACAGAAATAAGCCAGCAACTATTCCAGCTTTGGAAGACAACATTTCCGAAGAAATTCGGGCTATTCCGGCCGAAATGCTCGAAAAAGTTGCCCAAAATTGGACTTTCCGAATGGACCACCTAAGACGCAGCCGCGGTCAACATTTAAATGAAATTATCTTCAAAAAGTAAATGTCATGGACCAATCTAACGTTTCAAATAAAGAACCGATGAGATATTGCAAACTTTATGCGTTTTTTTTAAAAAAAAAGGTATCAAGCTCTTAAAAAATCACCCGTTATAAAGAATACCCAAAATAGATTTTTTGTATCGCAAATATTCGCCTTTGATTTGGACTTTGACCAGCTATAACTCAGCGAGCTTGGGAATTTATATTAATAACTTTCAAACTTTTGTCGAATTCTTGCGTTGTTTATTTTGTAATTTAATTTTTCTTTTTTTAATTCTTGTTGTAACTGCTAAATGCGCAGAAATTTAGATATTGATATTGTTAAGTACCCCCCTAATGTAAAAAGATATACATACATATATAAAAGTACCTACAAGTAAGAGCCAAGAAATGTTGCTGCTACTTCAGCCACTACATCACTGCCACTTCAACTTCGTTTCAAATGCACACACACACAAAATATGATTGCTGTTGTTGCTGGACAAGTGGCAAGCACGTATTGCAATTGCCCAGGTGACTCTGCATTCAGCGACGCGGCCAGCTAACTGCGTGCGAGCGCTGTTTTGTTTTTCTTCTTCTTATTTTTGTACACTACTTTTATCTTACCTTGTTGGCCATGTTTGTTGTTTTTCCTTGTTCCTTCTTGTTTTCAATCTGCATGCATTTCCATAAAATTTTTTTCTTTATTTCTCCACCGGTTATTTGCAAAAATTCTTTATGTTTGTATGCATTTGTGTGTGTTGCCTGTATCTACACTAGAATGCGGCTAAATCCGCGTTAAGTTAAGCTTATCCGCTGCATTGCTGTGCGAATACTAGTACTAATGCAGCTTACTGCAACATTCTTAATACCCCTGTCTTCCCTTTGGATTAAGCTAATATGTTACATGCATACAAACATACATATGAAGATGGGTATTTACATATGAATACATGTATGTATGTATGTATATATGTACTGAGGTCATACTTGAGTTTGTATGCAAAATTCTTTTGCCGTTTGCAACTTTAGTACGCTTTTATATCCGAACGCTGCTTTTCCGCATTTTTAGCCAAATCTCCCTTTTCTTGTTTTAAATAAACTCGTAAGTTTTCGCCGTGCTAATAATTTTGTATAACATTTGATTGTGCTTTTTCGCGTTAAGATGCCATAAAATACAGCAAAAGAGTTTTCATACTTTCTTTATGTTACCTGAACTAAGTCAAGCTTATCTCCCGCATGCTCTGCAACAAAACTGTCATAGTGGAGTGGGACAGTGCCTCCGTTCAGCGTAAGGTGAATAAAAGTACTCTCAACCTTTCTCTGGGTCGTCTTCGGAAGGTCATTCGGGAAGAACCGAAAAGGCGAACCGGTCGGATGAGGATGTGGCACTCAACCTCGGATAAATGTTATTTTGCAAGGGTACTTAACTTTCTCACAAATCGTGCCGGTAGCTTCGGGCTTACAGTTAATACTTGTAAAACGGAGCTAGCTTTGTTAACCAAGAGGTATAAAGTGCCAAAAGTCCAATTTGCCTAGATCGATGGCGTTCCACCTATGCTCTTTGAAGGTCTCAAGTATTTTGGCGTGACCCTATAAAGTAAACTGCTTTGGAAGTCAAATACTGCGAAGCGAGTATAAAAGGGTGGTTCCATACTAGTGCAAAAGCGTTATGGGGAAGACGTGGGGTTTCTCTCTAGTAACTACTACTGGATATATGACAGCCAAAAATTAGCGAACGTGTAAACTACAATTCTTGTTGGAATTAGCGTATGCTTGGTGTCATATCCGTAGACATTGCTGGTAAACCTATCCTATGAGCACTCGGAGATTAAATGAGTTGAAGTTGAAAATTTATATTGAAGCAGTAGATTTCCTACATAGCAATGTAATATCAAACATAAAGCCTTAAGTATATACTCTGACAGTCGAACAGCACTCAAAGATCGCTGATGTTGTGACCGAAACTGCTCAGAAAACGCCTAATATCTCTCTAAGCCGCTTCAGATTATTTTTAAATTAGTTGGATTAAGGATCCAGGCCGCGTTGAAATTGCCGGAAACTGGCAAACTATTTCTGGCCGGTAGTCAATCGCTAGCGGTCAAGGCAGCTTCTAAGCGCCAACTAGTTGGGTCTGAGAGCAGTCCTGGCCGGACACTGTCCCACAGCAACTCATTCGGTGTGACTTAAATTCGTTTCAAAACTCGACTGTTGTAACCATTTGCCCAGGTTCAGGATCTAAAAATTTTACATGGTATTTTATCAACTCTTCAGAGGAAGCCCTGTCTGGATATCAAACATAAATTTTTCTCTTGTAATTGAAATATACTTAATTTTTTAAGAGGTTTAAGGAGCTACATTTTAAATTTTTATTTGCTTATATTAAATTTTGTGGTGCAAAGTGCACCTGTTAATAAATGTTGCATAATAAAAACTATAGTGAGTAAAATTTTTTTCTTATAAAAAAATGAATTTGAAAACATCTTGCTTGTTCTAGCTTAGCCTAAAAAACCGTCTTTGGGGATATGTATAGGGGCTCATAAAAAATAATTATTAGCTAAAAGTTACCGGGAGGCAATTTTGTGTCGCACAATTTAATATGCTTCCTTATAGCCGGTTTCATTAGCAATTTAAATGGAAAATGATTTTCTTATTTGAATTTAATATGGAAACACGCAGAAAAAAAATCATTTTTCACTAAATTTCTCTCGTGTCATATCAACTGAGAAGAAAAATTAAAAAAAAGTAAAACGACTTACATACCCAGGAAGAAGGAGAAAGAGGAATAAGAACACCTAAATGTACATATATTCCAGTTTGCCAAAAGGGGGCAATGTCGTTCAGCGATCGCCTGCATTTCTTTAGATTTGCGAAGCGTTCGAGGCTCGTATACACATCTGGTAACACTAGGACTCTTTAAATCAATGAGTAGCCTTTATTGGCCAGTCCACGCTACCTAAACCATATGCAATTTCGAAACTAATTTTTGAATAAGTTCTGTTGACAAGGATACTCGTAATTAATACACTCACTTCTGCATACTTAGATAAAAAAAAATTCGTTACTGAAACATTTACTTTTTGTGTATGCCATCGATATTGACACTGCGGCGAAAGGCATCAAAAATTCCTTACAAATTACTTAAGTTTTCGCATACCTACTTTGAAATGCTAAGAACGTTGATTTAAGGTGAAATTACGTTGGAAACCTCAAGGAATTTAAATAGTTAAGAGCGAGAAAACGTTTTGGCATTTCGTTTTGGACATTGTTTCGCCGATGAACTTGGACGCAAAGCGGTTTTACTATGAAGATGTGTTGTTAGCTATGTATATTCATATATGTACTACGTAAATGGATGTATGCAGGCTTGCTTGTATTTGTGCCTTTACTAAAATAGTTAAAAAAAAAAAACAGAAGTCAACGCACTGGTGTTCATGGCAACCGGTCAAATTTTTTGCCTGTCTACGCCGGTTTTGTGTATTTGCTTCATCTTAGTCAGTGCTATGGTCACTGACCAGCTGGCTATTAAATTTAAATGCAAGCAACTTAATTGGCTATTTGATTTACATTTTTATGTGACACTTTATAAATTCGCCGATTAAATGAGAGCTACTATCAGAGATTATTTTTTAAATTTATATTTATTCGGCTAATACTTTTTCATTTTATACATAAATATTTCATGTACATATTTACTGGTATTAATGTTGGCTAAACTTCTTTCATTTCAGACAATCTGTGGGCGCGCATGTGCGTATGTTTGTGTTTTTGAATATTTATGTATAAGCGGTAAAAGTGTTTGCAAAGTCTAGTATAAAAAAAAATTACTGGTACTTGCGGATTAAGTTGGAATGAAAATTTTACGAAACTTTTAATCCTGAATCAATTGTTAGGTAACCCCCAATTTAGTCCGAAGGATAATTCAGTGCAAAAAGGGTGAGTGAAAAAATTCCTACTTCTACTTAAGTTATTGTATATGGCATAATAATAATAATAGTTTGGCGCTTCCAAAATATGCTATAATGTAAATTTTTTTGGTGCAACAAAAACAAGGGATACCATGACTTAAAATATCTTTTGTATCCTTATATTGGTTTCTATTCCTGACGGCCGAAAATGTTATTAACCTCCCTTATAAAATCTAAAAGTTTTTTTCGTAGACGAATTCCTAACCTTAAGGTCATCAAATGTAGAACAACTTAGTCTGTCCATTTCCAGACGAACGAATGTGCACCCACGTCTACCCCTCTTCAATGCAAAGACGGCAATCCATCTCCGTAGAAAGACCAATCCGGTGCATGTGAGAGCGCAGGTGACTATGGCCGGCTAGTTAGCCAATTAGCAACATGATGTTGGCTCTGCTCAAGAGATGTATATCTTTCCTAGCAAAAGGAAAAGTCTGGCCAATCTAAGAACCCCTACCTCTCCCGGTGCTAACTGCTTTTGAATTTACCCACACTTCGATTATGAGTCTCGAAGAAGGCCGTACAGACGATCAGCCTTACCTTGCCAATTCGTCGGTGGTCTCATTACCTACGATCCCGCAGTATCCTGGTACCCAGCATAGTAATACCGTTTCATTGCTGCCAAGAATTGGAAAGTGTTAAAGAGTTCCCCGAAGACCCTGCAGGTGATCGTCCTATTGGCCGCTGCCTATCTGAAAAGATAACTACAAGCGCGCTTTTTGAACGCTTCTCAAGGTTCTGTCTGGCATAAACTGAGGTTGCTACTTAATCGGCACGGAAAGACCGCGCACCAAAGACCCATTACAATAGAAAGACACCCGCTCCTAATCTGCCCTCCATCTCTGATCCGTCTGCATGCCAGTGTTTTTATATTGGATCTAGTTCATGTAGCCATATTTAGCGGTCTGGGATTTTGACCTGACATTTCCCTCCAAAGCAGATTTCCTTCGGCAAAGTGTCGAGTTTATATGAGAAGCTGTTGGTTATGGCTGAAATACACTCGAAGGTTTTGCCATTGCCTGCCTAGGGGCGACCGCTGTTAGAAAAAAACATTTTATTTTCTTTTGTTTTCGATGTTAGTCGGAAACTGAGCTCGAAGCCAGGCAAAAGCCCTAGCGTTGGCTCTAAGCCAAATAATAAAATCGGTAGCAATGTGAAGTTTAGTTACTACTTTTGGCCACAGCTTATGTATATTGGATATCCTACTGTGCGTACCATTCTTCTCTGGTCTCGAACACCGTATACTTAGGCATCGTTGTATTGAAGTCCCAAGCGGATATAACGTATACAGTGCTGGCTTCTAAGTAACTTGCATTAAGTTAATGTAAAAATGAAGTTTTTTCTACAACTATGCTGATCGAAAGACGCACCCATGGTAATCAAATGCTGAGTCACGCAAGATGTTATTTATATATTTTCTTTTTGGTTGTTGTTTGGATATGTACGTATGTTGATTTGTTAGAAAAATACTAACTTTTATAATATATATGCTTCGTAATCTACAAAGTAACTATCGCATCAAAGGTTAACCACCTCGAATGTTGTTTGTTTTTTTTATTTTTTTGCTGCTGATTGCTTCATACTTTGTTGGTAATCGATTTCTTGCTGCCTTTCTTTCAATAATTCCACATATGCAACAATAGATGTATGCCTTTCCTCCTTATGCGAAAGTTATTCTTACTAAGTACGTATATATGTAAGTGAAATTTCCCCACAATTTTGCATGACTGTGAACGCATACGTGCAGTTATTTTCCTTTCAATCTCTACTACAAGTTTCTTGTAACAAATATGTATTTGCTTTAACACCCAGCAGCGAAGGCAAGTAACCCCTATGATTTGGCATTTCTTGGTGGGCAACGCACTTGATGCGGAAATAAATATTTGTTTGATTTGGTAAGATAAATATTTTTTTATATAAAACATTCGGTTTATGGTATATTGTACGGTGAAAATGCTTAGTTGGATCCTTGGAGGTGAATATGCATACAAATGTTTGTTTGAATTTCATTTCAAGAATGTGTATAAGTACATATAAGCAAATAAAGTAAAATAAAATAAAATACAATTTTTAAAAAATAAAATAAAACAAGATAAGATGAAATAAATTAAAATAAAATACAATAAAATAAAATAAAATAAAATAAAATAAAATAAAATAAAATAAAATAAAATAAAATAAAATAAAATAAAATAAAATAAAATAAAATAAAATAATAGGCTCGTCGGCCTCTTCCCCGCCAACCATAGTTAGGTTATTCGAGCTGGAATAAAATAAAAAGTTTCCGGTGAATTTTTAGTCGTTATTTTGTGATCCTAATCCAACTACTTCGTTTCACGAAAGGAGCCAAGGTTCATGCACTAAGGTCAGTAGTTATCAGCAATATGTGAATTTTCCATATACATGTTTACTCCTCAAGGTATGACTCACACTTATAATCAAATTAACAACAACATGTTTACTTACGTTAAGTATGGCAGGGGAAAATTTATGTAGAGTAATCCACACCCAATCGAAACTCAATAGCAGTGGGACTATTTTTCTTTGAAAAATTATTTGCGTATGCATGTGTGTATGTACATATTTGTATATTTAGATATGAGTTTGAATGCAGTTAAACACTACCAAAGCTATAAAGTTCGGTTCGCATTCGGTGCATTTGAATATGTCACTTAATCCATAAATTAATTTTCAGTTAATGTTCTGTGAAGGATATTAGTCACACGCCATAGATTTTTATTGCGCTGTCTCACCGAACTTTACAAATTATGCATACAATTTCTCCGAAAATAGCAAACATACAAAGCACATAAATAAAGGGCAATGGTCATTCATGTCCACCCCCCACAGGGCAAATAAATTCCTTTTAAAGTGCTTTTTGACAGGAAACTATAACGTCAGACTAACTAGCTGGGTGATAATCAAACAAACGTATATTAAATGCAATACAAATATATATAAATAATATTGAAGAATGTAGCCAACGGCCAGCTAAAGGTAAAGGTTTCAATGCTTTTGATAATAAACTTTCACCTTTTGGCGATATAAAATCGACATCAGACGTCGAACCCCACAGACGGGCTACCCCTGCAGGCATAAAGGCAGACAAATAAAGCAGACTATACAACAGCCGGTAGAACACATATTGGTATACTGGATATACATATGTAAACATACAAATATGTATCTATATGTATTTAGGTTCATTCAAATAGACAGCACATGGAGACCAGCGACAGTCACGCAATGACAAACACGGGAACGGAAACCGCCATACAAACAACCAAGCGAAGGCAGATGTCAGCAATGTCGATGAATATAATACATATGTATGTATGGATGTATATGGAGGAATATGCTGTGAAAAGGGACATGCTATTGCAAGAATAACAAGAATCAATCGGTAGAGCGCCAGCCAAGCGTCCAGTGTTGAAGTGGAGCCTTCATTGGGAAACTGAGAGGGTTGAAATTCGACAAATATGCACAAATAAAGGCATGCAAACGCACACGTGCACGAATGTATATGTATGTTAAAATCAATGTATGTATGTATGTTGGTTGGCATACTTGTGTGTAGCGAATAAATATGCGCCTGAAGCTCTTTACACACAGCTGGTTTTTGAAAAATTTCCCCACTTCATTTTATGTAGTCTGTGCTGCAGCAATTTAATGCATTTGTTATTGTAATGGCACAGCAAAGCTTTTGCCTTCATTTGCTGCGCTCCACCAGTATCTACTTTGACGTTCACTCTCAACGAGGGTGTTTGAACTCAAACCCTAATAAACAATTTTCCCAGCCGAAATTTGAGCAAACAAACGAAGCATTGAATTTCGTAAATACATTTTTTTGCTACAGAAATTAATGTATTCTTAGTCAGTGAAGGGTGCAATATAAGCAAGAAAGGCGGTTGTACTTAGAAAAATATTGATTTAAATAATGTTTGGTATTCGTAGGAGTGCAGCTTTTTAGGTTTTATTTCCAAAATTCGCACGACTTTACACTTACGATGTAGCGCGGTTTGCCTTAAACGGTGTTCACATGAGGCGATTTTACAGGCATTTTTTAGAGGAGATTAGTTAAATCGAAAGTTGGCTGCCCACCAACTTCATTCCATGCGATTAGTTGAAAGGCCGTTCACACCAGGCGATTGCTGCTTTCAACTAAAAGTTGCATGGAAAATCGCCTCATGTGTAAACACCGTATTACGGGTAGATGTTTTCCGCAACAATCTTTATAACAGAATGGCTGAGAATTGACGAAGTAAAGTAAATGAAATCCGGGGTACTCCGACAACGTTTTCTTTTCTTTGACCGCTTCCGTCCCTAGGCAACAGTGTAAGACGCATCGAAAGTGACAAAAGAGTGGAATAGGCTATAATGTGCTTCCAAATCTACTAATCTCCGGGACTGTGACATACTTCACCCTCTGCTTTTTCAGATTTTTACGGACTGAAAAATCACGTGCACCTATACATAAATTGTATTGATATAAAATGATGTGATCAATTGAGATTTTCCATTTAGGGGTTCTTTAATGTATAGAGTCAGAAACAATAAGCACGAATAGGAATATATGTATCTATGATAGAAGAACGTAATTAAAGGCAGTTTCTCGCGGAAATATAGAAAATATTTGCTTCTATAATGAAAAACATGGTTACTGAAAGCACGCGCATTGTTTTCTTTCAAAATAAAATTGTTAAAAACTAATATTGTTATTTTAGGCCCTAGGGAGTCTCACCTTCGCAAAGGGGGCATTCTCATCACTCTACTCTAGAATTTAACCGCTGTACTCCGTCTTGTAAACATCTGGTCCAAGGAGTTAGGACTGAACTTCAATCCTACTAAGACCGAGATAGTACTTTTGATGAGGAAGTATAAAATTCCACTATTAAAACCTCTCATCTTAAACGTGATAGAACTTGCTCTCTCACCCACGTCAAATACCTTGGAGTTCTTCTAGACAAGAAA